GGATTGAGTGTGAGTGTTGACTGATTTCCAAAAGGACGAGAATCAACTTGGAAAGAAGAAGAATTACCATTTTTGTCCTTGGTGTTGGAATCAGGATGACCATGTAATCTCCAGCAATGTTCTCGATCATGGTTTCTTCTCTTGCAATAGTCACAATATAATTGGTTTCTATAGGATCTTGAATTTCTAGACCCGTTTGACCCATTTGACCAAGAGGTTGACCTATTTGGCCCATTCCATGACGTGGCACGATTTGAGCCGTTAGATGTATTTAAAAACGTGATGAGTTTCTGGCCATCAGATCGAGAAAGTTAATCTGAGCCCTTCATCTCTTCGTATAAATTTGAGGATTTTTCACCTTCATTTTGCCCTAGCCACAATCTCTCTCCAGTTTCTCTCAACCTTGTAAGGGCTATTGAATTTATTGATGGTCGATTGGAGTTGAATTGGCATTGGCTCTCATCTTACATTGCCAGTTGAAAACTCCGGCAGAGAGAGGGCGGCGGGGACGTGGCCAAGATCTGCATCATGAAAGATAAAAAACCTTCATTCAAACTAAGCAAGAAATGCAACAATTTATCAGATCTCGATTCTTTGGTACTGGTGGAGCGTTTCCGGCGGCCTTTCAAGTGTTTCCTCGACAGCGTCCAACTCATTCCAAATGACAAAGAGCCGATTGAAATAAGTTGTGACCGAGGTGTTTCCCTGTTTGAGTTCAATGATGCGCTATCGGAGGGTGAATATTTTAGTGAGATCTAGCTTCCCATACATCTCCTTGATGTTGGCCCAAATCTTGACGGTCATTTCTATCAGTGGGAGCCCCGCCGCCACCTCTATTGAAAGGCAATTGCTAATCCATGATTGAACTAGCATATTGCATTGGCTCCAACGACGTTGAAGGTGTGGTTGTGGTGGTAGTTGGAAGGCTCCATCGAGGAAAAGGTCTTTGTCTTTGGTGATGAGGGCTCACCGAAAATCGCGAGACTAGGAGGCATAGTTATCAAAACCTGTGAGGATTTGTTTGGTGAGGACCAATTCTAGTCCATCGGAGACTAGTAAAAAGAGCATGTCACATAGTCTAGGGTGACTGTTGCCAGTGGGGACTCGTATTTGGATCTGAACCCGATTGGAGAAAAGAATTCGGGTTTTAACCCGGCATTCCATATGGGTAAAGGGTTGGGTCAGGCCTAGTTTGAGTTGTGTGGGTTGTAGCAGGCTTGGATTGAGTATTTGAGCTTGAGTTGCGTGTGTTGTTTGTATTGGTTGGGCCCTCTAGGTTTTCTGTATTTGTTGGGTTGATTTCCATTCTGGATTTCTAATGAAGTGTTTGCTGTTTATTTTCAAGGACAAAGGAGAGGCTAAGTGATTGGCTCTAACTAAGTATTTGTTTAGTTTCAGGAACAGAATGAGAGGCTAGGCTGAATTGTAAGCAGAAGCTTTTAGCAACCTGGCTCTAATACCATGTAAGGAATCAAGAAAGAGAGGCAAAGAGGAGCAGTTCAAAACAATGATATTGCCAGAGTATGCCAAAAAGAGAAAATATGAGAGAAGAATTTATGTATATTTCTTTATAAATTGTATTGTAAGCTTGTACAATGGCTAATTTGTACAAGTTTAGTAAATGTAGAATAGGAAAGAAATAAATACAAATCCCTGTAATTCAATCAATCACATAAATTAAGGTGATTGATTGAAGCCTTAATCACTCCTTAATCTCAGCTAGCAGAGATCAAGGGAAATCAATAATAATAATAATGTTGCTTTCCATATTTCGTCAAGAACCAATAGCCATAGAAAATGAACTAGGGTTAGGTCCTGACACTATTATTTCGGCTAATAAATCCAAAGCATACTTGGACTGACTTAAAAGAATACCAACATTAATCATACACTAGTAACTACTAGAAAAATTGCATTTCATGACAGTTTCTAACTGTGATGAAAATATGAAATGAATTCTATGACATTTATCAAACTATCATTGATAGACATGTCTATAATGGTGCTTTATATAGGAATAACTTCAATATAAAAAATTCTAGTGGTGATAAAAAAAAAAAAATTCTAATCCCAACTTGGGTCAGTTATAAATAAAAATAAACTTCATATTGTAATAAGTTATAATTTTTCTAAGTCTCATCTTAAAGAACTTGCTTTCACATAGTAATAATTATATGTATAGTAAAACTTCTCTACAGTTATAATGGTGGGATCAAACTAATTTATTACTATAAAAAGGTTACAACTTAATAGAAGTGTAGTTACAAAAATTATTGTTTTGATTTCTTATTTTATAATTCACGTTTTAGTAGTATGCATTAAGATTTCAAGTCATTGTTTTAATAGTCATTGCTGCAATTAGACAATAAGAGAAATGAAATAATCCTGATCATAGTATGAAAATACAAAATGTTTTGTGCCAAAAATCTCTAAACATGCTTAAAAAGTTAGAAATATTTTGACTTCAACAAGAAGGCTTTCATGCTAACAAGTTATTAGGTACCCTGTAAGTTAAAAGATGTGATAACATCTCTAAAACATAAATCATTGTCTCAAACAACTTTAGATAAATATTTTATTTCATCTTAAACCTTTAATGTAACATATCATATATTTTTTGTAATATATAGTAAAACTTCTCTTCTTGTCTAATTGCAGTAATGATTTCTTTTTCAATTAAAATATAGATGACTTGTTACTCATTTGAATGACTGAGGAAGCCATTAATTTTTATAATGCACGATAAATTAATTTCTAAAATAAATTTTCATTATATAATGAAACAACTCAATCGACATTGTCTATTTCTTTCCAAACTAACTTGCATAGTACAAACCAGACCATTTCACAAATTTACATGAGACAATTTTTATAAAGTAGAAAATTGAAAGAAGAAAAATAATTGTTTGGACATTACTTCCTTAAAAAGCTGCTTGTTCTTTGTTTGGATATGTAGAACCTCAACACACTCGACTTCATCTAGCGTCACAGTCTATTTCTCTATCAAATCTGTTCTCATCCTCCCTTCTAATTGGCTTCACTTCACAAAAGATCTCAATATCTAGGGCAATCACGTAGTACTTAGTAGGGTTAATCTCAGTAACTTAACACTCCAAACTTTTATTTCCTCCTCTCACAAGGAATAGATAAAAAATAAGTTGTAAATTTACAAGCAGTATACTAAAAATAATGCAAACTACTAAAAATAATACAGATAATTTGGAGCAAACAATAACTTAGAGCGAACTGTAGCTTGGAGTGAAATGTAGCTCGAAGTAATTTGTGAGATGAGGATCTGATGGAAGCGAGCTACAATAGCTTGAAGTGAGCTGTGGATTCATTTTATAGCAAGTTACCTTGGGCGGATTCAGTATTTGACTGTCCATTTTTGCAAGTAATCTTGGTCGCCCATTTTTGCCAACGATCTTGGCCGCTCATTTGTGCCATGTAGCGTTCATCAAGCTAAAAAATGTAACCGCTATTTCGAAAAACAAAACGCCGTAGCCAATCGTTTCAACTGGCATGTCCACTCACATGCAGCCGCATTAATTACATAACCGACATGTCTGTTCATTGGACGCCACATTAAATGCATGGATGTGACCTTGGAAGCATTTTTCAAATGAAAGCCAGTAGCACAAAACTTTTCCAAGTTTTTGGTAACTAGATTGGATGTAGCGTGCTCGATGCACACGGAAAGCTCATCCCAATGCATTGGTTTGTCGTCAAAAGGATGCTAGGTACAAACTTGCACATACACCTCGGATATATTTGGTTAGACCAGACTCACAAGTAAGTTTAATCCAATAGTAACTCCCACATCGACAGCATGTTCGGAAAAGCTCATAGTTTTTTAAGTTCAAACACGACCTTAAAAAACTAGGGCCAAATATTGTGTGAGAATGTGTAGACAACTCGAGAAACATTAGCTCAGAGTAATTTGTGAGACGACGATTAGATGGAAGTGAGCTACAATCAAAAGTAAAGCGAGCTATCTGACAATTATCTTCCAAATCGTGGATGAGTCTTATCTCCTTAGACATGCATTATCCCCTAAAATTAAAGAGAAGATCACGAGATTGACTCCCTACAATCTCGGCATGATCACTACATAAAAAATCATAAGATTAACTTTCCAAAACGCACCTAAGAATCACTCTTGTAATCGTTATCAACTTAGCAGTGTATAAACCCCTTCAAACTTATTGTAAAGGGGTTAGCAATTTTAGAGAGAGAGAGAGAGAGAGAGAAAGTTTAATCTTGTATTCAAATACATTAATAAGATAATAGTGGACGTAGAGTCCTAGACTCGAAATTTAGCTCGCCAAACCACTTTAAAAACCTTTTGCATTTTAATTTCGTTAGTTTCATTTTCATTTGTTGATTATTCATAATCATGCACCATTCTATCCAATTCCGTCAAGGTCAATTAGATATCTCTAATTGTTACAAGATTTCATAACAACTAACAATAATGATGTAGTGGATTCTAATTGTTGCGAGATTTCGTAACAACTAACAATAATGATGTAGTGGATGTGTTTGATTGCAATAATGGTAGCTAATACAGTGGGGATGCACTATTACATTGTGAGTGTAGTGGGAATATGAAATTAAATTGTTACCAAACGTTGTTGCTTCATTTTTATGGAGTTAGGATAAAGGGTGGTTTGTACATATATTTGGAATAGCATGAGGTGCGGTGTGAGATAACCCCCAAATCTGGCAGGTACCAGGTTTTGCAAAACTCTGAGTAGTTTTGTGATAATTGCCTATTTAGTTATAATTTTACATGGGGGGATTTTTAATTACCTAGAAATGATGGGGTGCTTTTGTATTTTTAGAAAATTGTATAGGGATTTAGAAATTAATCCTTACATTTTTGTCTTTTCTCTATCAATATTTCAATAAACTCATTAACTGAGCCCATAAACTTTCAAGAAATACCAATTTCATCCCTTCTATATAACATGCTACAGCTTCTTCCATATGTTATCTAAAACCTCCCAAAAACCTCTCTTCATCAAATGACTTTATCTACTCTTCATCTTCCTCATCCCCTGATTATAACTTCCCAGAAACTTCACCGTTCTGCATCCTTCAGAGCTTCAAACTCTTTATCTATTAATGTCGCATTTTCCATTAGAAGAAGAGCTTCATCCTTGGCTGTCTCGGCCAAAGCCGCTTCTTCTTCTTCGCTTTATACGGCAACAACAACACAAATCCAAGAACAGGAAGAATATCACCATGGTGTCAACATAGCGGAGGACGTAACCCAGGTTCTTCTTTTACGCATTTACCCGACGTAATTTATTGATTGATAGTGTGTTTCGTAATTTGACGGTGTGGTTTTGGAGTGCTTTTCAAAGCGCTTTTGAGTACCCAAAGCGTTTTTGTATTGATTATGTGATGTTTGCGAAATTGGATGACTTGATTAACAGCATTTGGAGAAGGAACTGATAGATGATTTCTGGAAAATGTTTTTTTGAAATTACTTTGAAATACCCAAACGTTTTTTTTTCTTCCTTTTATTATTATTATTATTATTATTATTATTTTAATTCTGTAGATAGATAAAAGCATCTTTAGGCATAAAAGAAAGGAATGCCTGTAGGAGAAGTGTTTTTCTATGAAGTGCTTTCAAATATCCAAAAGTGCTTTCCTACCAAAAAGTGCTTTTGTATTTATTTTCCAGTTTTAATAATGCAATAAAAAAAGCACTTGGGTGTGTTTTTTAAAGAGTGCTTTTTTATGTTTTTGTAAAAGCACTTTTATGGGAGTAGGGAGGAGAAGAGAATTACATTCACCAATTACAGTATTGATTTTAGGCCAGCTGTATTTGGATGGAAGTCATTGTGTTCTATTTGTAACTTTTCTTTAGTTCTTAATAACAATCCTTATATTTCGAAATCTTTACTGATTTGAGCAGTTGTGACACATTGATATTTAGTTGATTGGGAGAACACCAATGGTATATCTCAACAGAGTTACGGAGGGTTGTGTCGCAAATGTTGCCGCTAAACTTGAATCTATGGAACCTTGCCGTAGTGTCAAGGATAGGTAACATCCTACATTTTGCTTTAGATAGAAGTAGAATTTCTCATCAACTTTAACCCATTATCAGTCTTTGCTCTTTTTTTTATCTTTTGGGAAAGGGAGCATGTATTTATTAGTTTATGATGGCAAATGCCCTTTGTGATACATGATTCGGGCTTTATTAATAGGACTGGCGCATCTTGGTTTTTTTGTAAGCTTCGACTTATTTTCTGTCCTGCTTTTTGAGTGATATGTTATAAGTGACTAATGGTATATCAATTTTTAACTACCCAGAATTGGTTATAGTATGATATCTGAGGCTGAAGAAAGTGGAGCGATTTCTCCTGGGAAGGTTAGCCATTAAGTTTTCATACAGTTATGTCAGGAAAATGCTCTTTATATCTCTTAAATATCTGATTCTTCTTAGAATAGTTCTTTGGATAATGTGTTGTTATTTTGTGAATGCTATATTTAATTTAATTATGTAATATACATTTTATGATGTCTGTTGTGCCTTGTTTGCAGACTGTATTAGTTGAACCAACTACTGGGAATACAGGACTTGGTATCGCTTTTGTTGCAGCAGCCAGGAGATACAAACTTATAGTCACCATGCCTGCATCCATAAACATTGAAAGAAGGATACTTTTACGTGCATTTGGGGCAGAAATTGTTCTGACTGACCCAGAGAAAGGTCTGAAAGGAGCAGTTGATAAAGCTGAAGAAATTGTTCTGAGGACACCAAATGCCTTCATGTTTCAGCAGTTTGATAATATGGCTAACGTAAAGGTTACATTTTGTGTCATGCTACATCTTATTTTATAAAGGCTGTTGGTTGTATGCTTAAAAATATTATTTATTAATATTTATTCCACGAATACAGATCCATTTTGATACTACAGGACCGGAAATATGGGAGGATACTTTGGGTTGTGTTGACATATTTGTTGCTGGAATTGGAACTGGTGGTACTGTAACTGGGACTGGGAAATTCTTGAAAATGATGAACAAAGAAATCAAGGTAAAGATCTTATTTTTATGAAGAACTTGAACAAATCATTTCAAGATGTTAAGTTTTGCAAAAATTTTCGTGTATTTATGTTATGTTACCTAGAGCTTAGATTCCTAGATTTCTTGTGTAAGCAAAAATGGGTAGAAAAGTTGGTATGCCACTTTTCCCATGAGGTGGAACATATTATTTCTAGTGTAAGTGAAAAAAATTGTTATCTAACCTACGAAGTTATTGACAGCATATGTTACATTATGATATAGTAGTTTTAAGTTAAAATTTCAGTTGTTTTAACTCCATGCCCCTAAAGGGATGTGTGGGGTTCAGGCATTAAAGACATTATGCTCATGGACGTAACAAGGAATTTGAGATAGGTGTGGCAAATGCAAACAACAATAAAATTTATTTAATTTTTAAAGCAATAATAATAAAAATTAAGATGTTAATATTCATTTAAATAGTTATTTATACTGTTAGTAATGTGTTTTGTATTTTGAAAGCATTGTCATGATAATTTCGTATAAATCTTATCCAATAATACTTTTATTTCTTTGTATACAATATTAAATTTTACTTTTTACTTGTACCAAATAATCTACCTCAACATGTATACTTCTAGATACAATAAGATGACATTTTAAGGTATAATTAAATCTTAAGATCTGTACACCAGTTTATACTAAGTCAAAGAGATTGAGACTTCAGAAAAGCGAAATTAGAACAATAATGCTTTACACATCCCAAAATTCTTATCCCAAGTGATGTGTAATCCTATGTGGTGTTAAAATTTAAATGAATGGTGATTTGGTAAAGGATATAGCAATGCCAAATAAGATGACACATCACTAGTGATGTGAATTTTGGGATATATTTTGGGATGTGTAGCATTACTCAAACGAGAACTAAAACTTTTGTTGAACAAGGAGCGAAAGGGAAGAGAAGGGATGATTTCTTTTTTGTAACTTTGAAACCTTATACACATGATCTAGACATTTTGCTGAAAATTTTTGGGGCACTCGTCTATCTTCAGCTCCACCCATGGTGCTGTGTGCCAATCTTTGGATTGCATTGCAGTGTTGTATCAATATTGTCAACCTTTCTGGACGACAGCAGCTAAGTTCCTAATTTGTCTTCTTTTGTTTACTTAGGTAGTTGGTGTTGAACCTGCAGAAAGGAGTGTGATATCTGGAGAAAACCCAGGTGAAAGCAATTTAATTTTGGTTACTTTAATTTTTTCATGTTGACTCTGCTTGAAGAAATTTCTTGGCTCCAATAACATCTGCTTAGAGTTTGTAGCATTTTGATGCAGGTTATGTGCCAAGCATCTTGGATGTTAAACTGCTTGATGAGGTTATCAAGGTAAAGAAAATTTCACCTTATCTTCCATTTCCATTTCTTTCCAAAAATTACTAGTATTTTAGAATTGTTTGATTTGTTAATCTTTTAAGGTTCCAACTCTCTTTTATTCCCTGTAAAACTGTTTCATATGCATTGTTTAGCTTGCATCAGATATCTGCAGTTCAGATTGTGATTTTAATTATTCTCTCTTATAAGTCTCTTTTGAGTTGTTAAATGTAAACCGCCAAGTGTTTGAGTCAATTTTGCTGTAATTGGCCAATTTACCTCTAGTGGGATTCATCGGAGACAGATCTGTCATATAAGTTGGAAACTCTGGTTCCTATATTACTTGATGGTTTTTTCTCTATAGTAAGGTTATATATATATAAATTTCCGGGTGTAGATAAATAGTTGAATAATTTTTTATTCCACAAAATACAGTTTATTACTTTCAAGCCGCTTATTAGCATAAATCTCCTTATCATATGCATAAATTGCATGAGAATGTGTATTCCACGGTTTATTATTTCCAATTGGGTGATTTATATAGTATTCCCAAACTAGAGTATCAAATCTGTTCTATCTTGCTCTTTTTCATTTCTCATTGTTCTGTATTTTTCTGAAAATTGATGGCTTTGTTTGGTTCAAGATTGGGAATACTACTCTTAGTACCCAAAAAAGTTAAACAGTAAAATACCCAAAAACTCTCATTTTTAGGAATACTATTTTCAATATTATTCAATTTTTTTTAAACCCTCTAAATTTGTTAATTTAATTAAATACCCCTAAATATTTTTGTTTAAATTACAAAAACACCCCAACAATCCACATTTACCAGATTCCGGCCACCACCGTCGGAAAATGGCCGAAATCTGGTAGGATGGCGCACTACCGGCTGAATCTGGCCGGTAGTGCGCCGATCTAGCCTTTTCCGGCCAGATCCACGGTGGATCTGGCCGTTTACGGCCAGATCTTTGGCCGTTAACAGTCGGTCACGACGGCCAACAAACTGTCGTCGTTGACCATCAACGACGACCGTTTGTTGGCCGTCGTTGAGAGCAAATACGGCCAGATCTGGCGGTTGATGGCCAGATCTGGCCGTAGATCTGGCCTTTGCCGGCCAGATCCATCGTGGATCTGGCTGGAAAAGGCCATATCGGCACATGACCAGCAAGATCCAGTCGGTCATGCGCCCATAAGGTGACTCCGGCCACCTCCGGTGGTGGTGGCTGAGTGGGGGTGTTTGAGGGTGGGTTAGGGGTATTTTTGTTAACTTTTAATGTTTTATTATTGGGGGTATTTTGTAAAAAAACAAACATATGGGGTATTTTAGGAATTTATAAATCCTACATCGTAATACCTGCCCAATTCAACTTTTTTTTAACTTTTTTCAAAAAACTTTTCCCAAAACCCCCAAATTTTGAACCAAACGGAGCCGATAATTTTGCAATATCCAAATGAATTCCAGTTTTTTGTGGTTCTGTTTCCAGCTCCTAGGTTAATGATCCATTTAGTTCCCCTTTATCTGATTGTTGAATCCTATTTTGGGCTAATTTTTTGAATAAGTAATTCTCTCAGATGGGCATTTTGTCAAAATTTGCTTCCTAGGCTCTAATAACTTTTTGTGTGCTTCTTGTGATCTCTATGAACTTTTATTATTTAATTGGCTCGAAGAGTAATGCATTTGGTAAAACTTTGCTTCCTAGGTTTCTAATGACTTTTTGCGTGATCTTGTGATTTGACAAACTTGTAATATCAAATTGGCTGTCATAAAATTTGCAGGTTACCAATGAAGAAGCTGTTGAACTGGCGAGGAGATTAGCACGTGAGGAAGGTTTGCTGGTAATTTACAAATAATTTTCAACATAGAAATCAAAAGTTCTATTGTCTTTCCCCTATTTGTCTATCATTATCATTAGGAATTCAATATCAAAGCTTCAGCTAGGAAGTTGTCTTTTGTAAAACTATTATTATCTTGGATGAAAGCAACTCCATTTCCATTTTGACAATTTCTAGATATAGCTGTGTTACTTGATGGAAGAAACCTTTTTTGTGGTAGTTTCTCTAATTTAGTGTCCACTCTTTGTATTTAGGTTGGAATTTCATCGGGAGCTGCTGCAGCTGCAGCAATCAGCTTAGCAAGAAGACCTGAGAATGCTGGAAAACTTATTTCGGTGAGGAATCTTATTTTAAAGTTCCCAGTTATATTTAATACGATTACTGGCGACATAACGAACTTATGGGAAACTTCTTGTGAAAATATATTGGACTGGTTTTTGATGTGTCATACTTGGAATCTAGTGATCAGGTTTCTGGTATAATGATTGGAAATACAGACTAAGATGGAATCACGGAAGCTGAAAAAGTAAATGAATGATATTTCAAATGAGTGCTACAACTACTTATTTAATCAGTTTTAGAAATGGACAATTCATTTTACTTGACTTTTCAATTCAGTCATGCTACACAGTAACAGTCATTCCGTTTCACGAGTAATTTAGGGCTAGTCAATAAATTTAAAATCCACAATCTTTAACGAAGATTTGGTGTGATTCAGTTTTACATAAAACCTGTTAGACATGGATGACCTATTGTTTCTGTATTGTGTAAATATCTAGACACTAAACAAAACTTTAAGTTCATCTGTGGGAATCTTTATGAACAAGATACTGATGATAACCATTTTCTGCTCTTTGAATTGTAGGGAATTGTACCTAAGAATACTACTCTTGTCTTCTTATTGCAAGTTCCAAACTTGACCCTTTCTTATCAGGACATTGTACTAAACATTATTGCAGTTTCTAACTTGTCTGTTTTATGGTTGTTAATACTGAAGGTTATATTTCCAAGCTTTGGTGAGAGGTACATTCCCACTGTTCTTTTTAATTCCATATACGAAGAGGTCAAGAATATGCAACAAAGATAGGGTGATTTCATCTCCTTCCATTCGAGACGATCAAGTTTTCCACAGAATTGAGTTGCTTTCATCCCTAAAGAGTGGATGTACATGTTACATATAGGTAGGTAACCAATTCGACAAATCCTTAGTCACTCTTCCCGAATTAGTTGTTCATCTTTTGTCCCAGGTGCTAGTTTTCATATCAGAGGTCAGATTGCATCTAGTTGCAGAATTTTTTTAGCAGAAAATTAGTTTTTATGAGATTTTGTACTTAATCATTAGTTTAGGCATTCATTTTTTCTTGATAATTCTTTTAAGGTCCGATATTTGGAGGTCAAAGGCAATGTGTGGTTTCATTTGTTAATTTATCTTGAAGCTTAAGAAACTAATTAAGATGGAGAAGTTGTCAATGTGTAGCAAAATTTGGTGTTTACTTGTAAATTGTCAGAATTTTGTTGGTTCATATACATTTTTTTGACCAAATATTTAGTGTTTGTTTCTTCTTATTATATGCTCTTCATGTGGATACAAATATAATGGTTCCTTGGACTAAGCATTGTTGTTTGTAGATGTATACTACACGTACACGATGGTGATGGTGTGATGCAATTGTGGACCTCTTCAAGAAACATAATGGGCTGCCCACAAACTATTATTGATGCGACTAGATATCTAATGGGCCTTTCATAACACTGTTCCCTTCTCACACTTGTTCTATTGTGTAATGGGCTATCTGCAACTCCGGTTCTTTCACAGCTTTTAACTCATTTTTCAATCTGATATTAATTAAGATACAAATTAGAGTCTCAATCTCTTTCTAAACCCTAATAATAATAAATTATTTTTAATTTTTAATTTACAAATATATTTTATTTAAGAGTAAATGACTTTTTCCCACCCAAGGTTTGCCTTTATGACACTTTCTCATCAAAAAAGTTTCAAAATATCATTTTCTCATCTAAAGTTAATATTTGGTTATTATTTAAAGTCAATTCCAACTGATTTTGATGGCGGAAATTCTTTTCGTCACTATTATTTGAATATCTGGTCTCCTCTTTACAAAGTCTCTTTCACTCCAACATCTAATTTTTCGTCGATTATTAGTCATCGCAAAGCTAGGCTTTTATGTTCTTAGTTGGTTTTCATTTTTCAACTGTTTCTAACAACGAATATTCAATTAGTTATCACCATTTGATCCATCGGTCTTCATTTTACAAAACCTCTTTTACCTTAGCTTTTGATAACTCGTCTAACATTAGCTAAGAAAATGAAGCGTATTTTAGGTATTAACGGAATATAAACTTTGGGTGGAAAAGTGTCATTAAAGCAAACCTTGGGTGAGAAAATGTCGTTTACTCTTTATTTAATTCCAAAATTATCCTTCTTTAATATCGGCTCTTCTTAACATCTTGGTAAACTCATCAACTCCATTTTTCATCTACTTTAAATCTAAGTATCCTTTTTATTTATTATTATTATTTTTTTTTTGGGTAAAATCTAAATCTTGCATTCGTACATAATCTATTCCCGTTCAATATCATTAGCAGTTTGTTTTATCTTCAATTTCTTACACGCAGTATTTTTATTCCAATTAACTTCAACTTCTAAGAGAACTGAAAAAATAAAAGACTGTTGACCAGACATCAATCGGCAATGGAGAAGTTTTAAAATAAATATTTTTTCTTCTTTCTTGTTTTCATTGTTCTCCCACGTATTAGAAAAATAATAGAAAGTTTAATGTTTTAAATTGAATTTCTTAAAGCAACCTTAATATAAGAACAATTAATCCACTGTTATTATATTTCATTGTTTGATTCCATCTTCTATCTCTTCGAAAAAAAAAAAANTAACCTTGAATCTGATATGAGCTCTAGCACATATTTACAATGACTAAGAGATATTCCTTCTGAGGATCATGCAATTTCAGTGCCCAAGAAATACTTAGGTGCTCCCAAGTCCTTGATGTTGAACGATTTGTGTAGATACTCATTTAATACTCTAATTGCAATCTCATCATTCCGTGTAATGAGTATGTCATTGACATAGACTATAAGTCTGATGAAGGACTCACCTTGATGTCAGGAAAAAAAATGTCGTAATCATGTTTGGATTGGATAAAAACCAATGGTTGTGAGTTCTTCTATAAATTTTGCATCTCATTGTTGTGATGCTTGTTTAAGCCCATATAAGGATTTTTGCAATCAACATACAAGATTCTCCCCCTGATTGCAAAGGCTGGGTCGAAGGTCCATGTAAATCTCCTCATCGAGATCACCATGGAAGAATACACTATGAACGTCCATTTGATGTAATTGCCAATCATGATGAGAAGCAATGGAAAGAAAAGCCTGAATGGTGACATGCTTGGCAAATGGGGAGAAGGTCTCTTGATAGTCAAAACCTTCTTGTTGGGTGAAACCCTTTGCAACAACGCAAGCTTTATAATGCTAGATGGAGCCATCAACATGATATTTGATCTTGTATACCCACTTACAACCAATGGGTTTGCTGTGCGAGGGTTGAGGTACAAGAACCCAAGTGTGGTTGGTGGCAAGTACATTTAGTTCTGTCTCCATAATGCCAACAATGATGTTGGATGGCATCAGAAAAGGAGGAAGTCTCTCGATTGAAGGAGATTTTGCTCATACAAGACTTGTGTCTAGGGGATAAATGGTCAAAATTAACATAAGCAAATGTAGGGTAAGAGATACCTGCCACATTAGAACAAACATAGTCAGTTGTCCATACGGGGGGTTGTGAAACTCGAGAAAATCATCTCAATGGGATAGTGTCTGGTGGAATAGTATCCTAAACAAAAGTAGTAGGTCAAGTATTAGTTGAATTGGAAAGAGACTATGATGAAAAGTCACCAGATAAGAAAAGAGTCTACAACCTGTTCTTCTGAGGTGGAAGGTGAAGCATCAAGGGACGGGGATGACCGAGCAGCTGGAATGGGAACTATGGTTAGAGGAGTTCCTATTGATGGTGAACAATCCAATAGAGCAATTGGTGAAGTGGGCGATACGGAAGTAGATCCACTGTAAATGCCAACAAATGGAAGAACCTCTTCATGGAAGATCACATCTTGACTAATCGGGAACTTGCCTTATTGAGGATCATACAACTAAAACCCTTTCTTAAGCATTGGGTACCCTATAAAAATACATTTGGTGGCATGGGGAGCAAATTTGTCACATGGACCAACAATAGTCGCATAGCAAAAACAACCAAAAACCCTTATATGACTATTGTCAGGTTTCTTTCTAGACAGCAACTCATATGGGGCTTTCCTCCAAGAGTCCATGTAGGCATGTGATTGGCTAGATAGGTAATAATGATCATACATTCACCCCCAAAAGAGACTGGAATATTGGCTTGGTGTTTGAGGGCTTGTGCTATTTCTAGGAGATTACGGTGTTTTCTTTCTACAATCCTATTTTGTTGGAGGGTGTAAGTGCAAGAACTTTCATGGAGAATCCCATGGGAAAGGAATGGAGATGAACATTGATTATTGAAGATGTCTAAGGCACTATCGGTTCGGACTATTTGAACTATTTGATGAAATTGTGTTTGCACCATGGAGAGAAAATTCAGGATGTGAGTGAAGGCTTGGGATTTGGAGTGCATGCGAAATACCCATGTCCTCTGGGAAAAGTCATCAACTATGGTTACGAGAAAACGTGATCCATCATGATTAGAGACATGATATAGGTCCTAGATATCAAGGTGACTTAGAGCTAAAGGGGCTTTTGTGAAGGAGGATAAGGAAACAAATTCTAGAATATTTAGCAATTGGACAATTAGGACAATTTTTGGTTGAGGAATAGATGCATTGTGACCAAATTTTTGGTGAAAAATAAGAGAATTTATATTAATATTTGCATAACTATAATTTTCTTTATTTTTTTGTAATACAAGAAATTTTTTTTTTTTTTAATGAGAAAAATCAATAGAAAAAGGCTCCCAATAATACAAGCCATGATGGGCTTTACCCAAGTCCATCAGTCTGCTAGTCGAAGGATCCTGAAAGATACACATATTAGGAAGGAAATACGAAGTGAATTTATAATCAATGCAAAATTTTGACACATAAATGAGGTTGAAATTGAAGGTAGAGACAAAAAAGAAATTTTCAAGATTAATGTGTCTGTGAGTTTGACTACATCGGTATGAGTGGCTAAAGCAATATTTCCGTTTGGCATTCTAATAGAAATAGGTGAATTAGACTCTGTGTGTTTTAGGACTTTCCTAATATATGTAGAATATATTCTTAATCCTTATATTTAATCGTAATCTGTGGTAGTATTAAATCTTTGGTATTTATTAATATAATTACAATTGATCTTTTCTATGATTTGAAATCAATGTATACAAAATCATTGTCAATACTATAAAATTTTAATTAAAAATAATAATAATAAAACTAAAACATATACAAAATTGTTAGTAAACAATCCAGTAACGCAACGGAAAACAAAATATTTACGACATGGATCATTACATAGAACCAAGATCTAGGTACAAAAATTACAGTTTATACATATTAAACTAAGAATCTGCAGATTTTATTTTGGAGTTTAAGAAATCATACGCACGTTTGGAGGCTCCTCCAAGTTGTCTCTGAACGTATTTTGCTATCGACCGAAGTGTAGGATCGAACCGACGTAGTCCACACAAAGATAATCGCAAGAGACTAAAGAGGGATTTGCTAGATCCTCTTTAGCCTTAAGAAACAAGAAAAAATGAAGAGTATTTGATTTTCCAATCAAACATGAATTCTGGCGTGAGAGAGAGGAAAAATGGGCTGTGTGTTTTCTCTATTTCAATCAATTGAAATAATGAAAAATCTCTTTTCTTTTACAATTAAAACTTTTCATTTATAGTAATATTTTAATTGCCATATTCCCATATGTAATAGGCTTGGGCTCCAACCCAAACACTCCCTTGTTTCCAAACACTCCTAATTAGATATTTATTTTATTTCATCATTATCTCAATTAAAATCAATTAATATATATTTAATATATATATTAACATTTAACAGTAATGATAATTTATTTAAATATATGCGAACACATATTTAAACGTAATTTCACTTATTTAATTTTTCTAACAAATTAAATAAAGGCTACAACCTCAACAAATTTAATTGCACTGTGCAATTACCAAAATACCATTTTGCCTAAAAAGACGAAAACGTCATTCTAACTTCCTTGCTCTTAAATTATCTTTTATGTGTGTGACTTATAGGTTCTTCATCATACCGACAGTGTATAATATTGCGATTAACACCAATTAATCGTCTCACTAAACATAGACCAAGATTGACCCCTAGCAAGGCATCATGGCCACCCGATAGATTCGGATTCAGCAAAGTAGCTACCTGTCAACGATATGGTTATCGTACAATTCGATCCTTTCATCATCCGTTATCTCGACGAGAC